GTTGTGAGATAAGAAGCTGTTCTCGGGCCCCTTTGCTCCTCTGATCGGAGCCGAGCCAAAACAGATGGACCCAGGCCAATTCCCCCCGACCCTCCCTTTCCCATCAAAATGACAAGGAAGCCGGAAACAGGAAAGGGGTCGTAAAAGTGCATGCAGGGACCCCTCCCCACTGGAATGGCAGAGTCCCTGTAGGGATCTATGGGAGCGGCTCCGAGCAGCATTCCACGCTTGCTCCGGCCTTCGGTCTGCTGCCCTGCCTTCTCCAGGCCTGCCACCCATCAGCCAAGGAGCCGACAAGTAGGACCAGACCGCAGCCTCCAGGGGATGTCGAAGGAGCAAAGGCCCAGTGTTGTTCTTGGGCTCCCTGCATCCACCTTCCGGTCCCCCTTCCAGGTCAGCTTTAGGCCTTGATGCCCCACCGATTGAAAGGCAACACTTAAAAAACCTTTCCTGACTGGAAGAGGTACTATTGCTGGCCCAGAGTCCTTTCTGAAAACTCTGGTGTGGAATGGGTCGACCGGAGGAACAATTTGTGGCTGGCCCTGGGACCTTCTCCGTGTTTTTTTCAGTCCGGCTGACAGGCTTGGTTGCTGATGGAAGAAGAGAAAGAGGCTTCTGAGGGGGTGGGAGGTTCTGAGGACCTTGAACTCCTCCGTGGACATTGAAGTCTTTTTCCCAAAAAAGGAGAACCGACTTGATGGTCCATCCCATTCAGTTCTTCTGCTCCACTGGAAATGACTTTCCCTCCTGCCTGTTGGGCGCTTGCCCAAATGTTACCTGTCTCACCTCCGTGTGGCAAACTCTTTGAGAACTAGATGGGGAGTCCTTTTTATTTAGCAAAGGTAGGAACTTTCCAGAACCTTCTTAAGAAGGTAGGCTTTCTTCAGTGAAGAAAGGTAGAACAATGAGTCAAATAGCCCAGAAAAATAGGTTGCCCTATAAATCACAGAGTTTAAGAATGAAGAAAGGTAATCGGAGAGCATCTACACCCAGGATGGCAAACTATGGCACGCATGGCACAGGTGGCAAGCAGAGCCATTTGTGCGGGCACGCAAGCCCCAGGCAAATTTACCTCACTGTGCATGCGCGTGCCTCCCAGTTGAATTTGGGCCTGTTTGAGGCCTTTTTCGGTCTCCCAGAGTCTCAAGGGAAGCCTCTGAAGCCTTTGTAGGCCGAAAAATGGGCTAGTTTAGTCACTTCCTGTATTTCCGGAAATACCGGACGTGACGAAACTGGCCCATTTTTCGGCCTACAAAGGCTTCATTGGCTTCCCTTGAGACTCTAGAAGGCCCAAAATCAGCTGGGAAGTGCAGTGCAGGTAATGGGGTGGCGGGGGTGGAATCGTGCGCGCATGCCTTCTGGGTGCTGGCCCGCGAGTGCATGTGCGCGAGTGCAATTTTTGGCACAAAAGCCCCCAAAGGTTAGCCACCACTGATCTATACAATCCATCTTCCCTTCAATTCCCTTCGAGGTTCGGATGTTGCATTATGTCATGTCCCCTGAATACAGTTGTACATCACCCCCTTCCTGGGGGACTTTATTTTTACACATATTTATTTTTATTTCTTACAACTGCAGCTCCTTTCCCATCAGCTATTTTGGCTGGTAATTATAAGATTGGAAGCCAGTCCATTGGGAAACCTGCACCCTCAGATATTCTCTGGGTCCAGAGAAGCCTCACCCATGAGATTGCCCGCCTTTCCTGACAATCACAAGGCCCTCTGGGCATGATTCCATCTGGACAGAGGCCCCTAAGTCAGAAGCCGGCTATTGCCCAAATTAAAGCACTTCTAGCAGTGACTGAACTTACTAAAACATTGGGAGGCCTCACTAAACGTTGGCAAGATTTGAGCTTTTTTTTTTTTTTTTTTGTGCATGAGATCTCATAGGATTATGGCAACTGCGATTTCCCAGAATTTTAGCGAAATCACAAAAGCCAGGATTTGCAAATGGGAGAACTGGAAGCCTGTGGGGAAGACAATTGTCTCTCCTTGGCTCTGAATGTTGAGATGCTCGTCTGGGAGCTCTGTTGTTGGAGTGGGGAAAGCAGAGATCCTTCTGCCCCGCACAGCAAGGGCTGCCAGTCTGTGCCCCGTGAAGGAGGGTTGAAGATGGTGAGCGGGGTTGGTAGGCAGGAGCGTTGGGCACCCTAACGGGATCTCTCTGATCGTCATGCAGGGCGAAGATGGCTTCCCGGGATTCAAAGGCGACATGGGCATTAAAGGTGACAGGGTGAGTGCCGGGACTTCATCTCCATGGCCAGAAATGAAAACTTCGGTCAAGCGTTCTTTGATCCCAAAGCTCTCCGGTTGGTCCTCACGCTCAAGAAGTCCCGCTGGGCTTCTGAGTTGATAACGGTACCCCTTTCCCATCTTCCGGAACTCTTCCAAAGTCTTCCTTATCATCTTCATTTAATGACCCCACAATCCCTTGAGGGTCAGAGTCTGGGCAGCTGGATGGAGCTAGCAAGAGTGTTTTACTGGCCGGATGCCCTTCCTGTTGCCAATACAGTGTTTTGTTCAGGTATATTCCCGGTCCACCCAAAGAGAGAGAAATGCCTGTCTCTATCTAGGATCAAACTCACAGACTCCGGATTGTGAGGCAAGAGCCCCACCTCTAGGCCACCACACCACTCCTTTCCAAAGTCTTCCTTGTGTAGTGACCAAATTTATGCTTGGCACAGGATTTGGAAATGGGCAAGTCGGAAATGCAAGCAGCCCCCACTGCCTCTGACGTGTTCTTTCAGCTGCCTTACCTCCCATTCATTAATTGTGGGGTTGTTATATATCATTTTTTTTGGGGGGGAGGTGTGTCAATTAGTAACTTCTAATAAAAGAATCACTTCCATGTTCAATCGTGGCCACCCACTCCTGATATTGTAGCATGTTCCCTTTTTTTAACAAAAGTGGGCTGTTCTTGGCCTGGAACCGGGAAGAAGAGGATCCCTTAGCCAGCTCCATGCAACCTTTTTTTTAAAAGAAAAAGAAAAAAACAGAGACCTAATTATTGGTGGGTCCCATAAATCAACTGCGCGATTTGCTCACACCAGAACAGTTCCGTTCTGCGTGGAAAAAGGCACAACCCCACAATTAATGAACGGGAGGTAAGGCAGCTGAAAGAACATGTCAGAGGCATCAGGGGGGCTGCTTGCATTTCCGACTTGCCCATTTCCAAATCCACGGCAGAGAATCAGCAAATTTTCATTTCAGGGAAAAATGAGATTGTGCAGCTTTTCTGTAAAAACACATGTGCAATGCAAAACAACACCAGCACGTAAATTATTCAAGCGCCTTCTAAACAAAACCCGACGGTATGTCTTTTGGGCTGTTGACGAAGCTGATATTTCTCTCCCTCCCTCCCTCTCTCCTCCCCCTCTCCCTCTTTCCTCTCCTCCCTCCCTCCTCTTTTCTCTCTCCTCTCT